AAAGTGACGCCTAAATCTTTGACCATGGTGACTCTATTTAACGTTTCGTTGGCTATTGTATATGTATAACGAAGAGGTTGATTTTTTCGTGAGTATGACACCACTTTACATTTAGTAATGTTTAGGTGTAGTTTGTTATTTTCACACCAATCATATATAACATTTAAATCGTTCTGGAGAATCTGACAGTCATGTATATTATTTATCTTTTTAAATATTTTCATGTCATCGGCGTAAATCAATTTTCTAGCAGAAATGAAATTTGGTAAGTCGTTAATGAATACTAAAAATATAAATGGACCCAGGTTAGATCCTTGGGGCACTCCGGATGTTGGGGTAAACGATTTTGAATTATACCCGCCATATGCATCTTTTCTCCATGTTTTAAAGAAGCGAAATTCTCGGATCAAAAAGCTTCAAGCGTAGGACTTTAGAAAATTTTCGGAGAAGGGCCGGAAGGTCCTTGCGGTTTTGTTGGGTGGTATTTAATACCCCCACGCGCAGATTTGGAGGGGGGGAGGGGGCGCAAAGGCGCGGTCATATCTAGTTACGGCCCTGTATACAGGGTGGTGACTTGCGTCACGCATCATAGGGAATTCAATGTAAAATTCATAACATGCCATTATTGGCTCCCCAAATTATTTTAGAGAAAAAATGTATTAAGGTTTTTTGTAGAAACAAATTTTTTACGTCAATCAACCGTATTAGTTTTCAATTTTTTGCATAATAAAGACGGAAAATTGGAAAAATAAAAACCGCATCTTTTTCAATAATCTGTGATGCCATGGAATTTTATAATACAAAAACTACGTCAATATCCGTTATGCCATGGAATGTCTGCTATAAAACAAACCAAATTCTATCAAAAAGTATTATATTTAGAACAGCGAATTCAACATAAAGAAAGACCAAATTACTAAAAACGGTTTCCTAATATAACAATTTACAATAAATGTTCGAATAAGTCACCATTAACTGCAAGACAGTAACCAAGTCGATCATAAAATCCATTTCGAACTGCTGCTAATTGATAACTGGGTATCTTTTTGTTTTAGAAAATTCCATGGCATCGCAGATTATTGAAAAAGATGCGGGTTTTATTTTTCCAATTTTCCGTCTTTATATGAAAAAAATTGAAAACTAATACGGTTGATTGACATAAAAAATTTTGTTCTACAAAAATTTGCTCTAAAATAATTTGGGGAGCCAATAATCGCATGTTATGAATTTTGCATTGAAATCCCTATGATGTTTTACGCAACCATCCGCCATTTCCAGAGAAATTACATACCTAAAATTATCACATTTTGAAAAAATTCAAACGAAATTACTCTTTGAAAATATCTCAATGACAGAACAAAATACGGCCTGTTTGACTTGTAACGGGTGATCAAAAAAGGATTGATGTCGAGTCGCCTTTGGAAGGTCAAGCTAAATATGAATTTGCATGTAAACAAAAATTCCAAAGGTGACTCGACAGCAACTCTTTTTTGATCGCATAGTACTTCCGCGCACTTGATTGACGTGTTAAATTAATAAACAAAAAATTCTCTCCAACCGTTCACTTTCTTATCAATTTAATATGTTAATTTAGAGGACTTCAAGGTACTAGTAGTGGAAAATAGTACATTACATATCAAGGTAGAGAAGTACAGTATTATTGCCTGAGCACCAAGATTACATCTCGAGGCGCCTGCGCCGAGGGGTGTAAGGTGCGAAGGCAATAATAGACTTCTCTACCGTGGTATATATACTATTTTTTTCACTACTAGCACTTGAAATCATCTAAATTAACATATTATATTGATAAGAAAGTGAACGGTTGGACAGAATTTTTTGTTTATTAATTTAACATGTCAATCAAGTGTGTAGAAGTCAAACAGGCCGTATTTTGTTCTGTCATTGAGATATTTTTAAAGAGTAATTTCGTTCGAATTTTTTCAAAAAATTCTGTCCAACCGTTCACTTTCTTACCAATATAATATGTTAATTTAGAGGATTTCAAGTGCTAGCAGTGACCACGGTAGAGAAGTATATTATTGCCTTCGCACCTTAGACCCCTCGGCGCAAGCGCCTCGAGATGTAATCTTGGTGCTCAGGCAATAATACTGTACTTCTCTACCTTGATATAATATAATGTACTATTATAACATTTCCTCTTTCTTTTCAGTTAAATACATGATTTTTTTATGATTAACTAATTTATAAACAAGTATAAATTTAATATAAGTAAGTCAAAGACAAATAATAAAAAGTTATCGCTGTTTTTTTAGGTAATTCCAAGGCATATCTGATTTATTGTAAAATGAACCTTTTTATTTTGTCGATTTTTACGGTTTTGAAAAACGGAAAATTATAATTAATAGTATGAACAGATTCAGTATTTTTTTCTCTAAAAGAAACGTATTTAGACTTTTGCTCTAAAATAATTAGGGGAGCTAGTAATTGACTATAAAGAAATTACCATTGAAATCCCTATGCTGCGTCGCGCTAGGCACCACCCTGTATAATGTACTATTTTCATTGTTGACGGTTTCGCGCACGTTGTCAAGAGCAACTTTACTTATTAATCAACAGTTTAAAAAACTAGTACTTCGTGTTTCAAAATTCGTCAGAAAATGACAGGTTTTTTTGACAGTTGTAGAAAAAAATATGTTTATATTTCGTTCTTTTTCTTTTAAATTTTAGTCAATTGTTACCTTTGGTAGTTAAATGTTAAACGTTTGTTCAAAAAATTCCCACTCCTTCTTGGTGTTGCAATTTCCATGTCACTGAGTAGATATATTTCTTAAAACGCACAGCACTTTATTTAGCGCTACCCGCTAAACCGTTTTTGAAAAATTTTTCGAGTTCTTCACCTTAAAAGTTCTTTCTTCTCCTAAGTCTTTAGTTTCCTTCTTACCTAGCGACCAGTCTACAATTTGTAACGAGTGGTTTGATTTCGCGCCAAATTTCATAAAAAATTTCGAAATTTCTTGTCATGATAGTGAAGGTCACCCTGTATATTTCATTATTTGTTCCGGTTAGAAATTTTGTGTTTGGGCATTTCGGTTCGCTCAAGACTATGGTCCGATAGATTTAATTTCGCTCAGATTTAATTTCGTCGTGGGAAGAGTGCAAAGCTGATTGACGTCATCATGAGTAATGCGAGTTTTTTGTCGTTCGTTTATCAACTTTGGCGCCGTCTGGACCGAGAATAGGAGCGGATGTAGCACCGAGCCGTCAAGAGATAAGGAGTTTTCACGTCATCAGCAGAAAACCGTGAGATCAGTTTAGTCAGCAGTTCCTTGAGGTTGACGACGAAGTTAGAGTGGGTTAAGTCTTCTTTATCTAAACCAATGGGAGAATTTCTAGCGGGAGCCATTTTTGTTTTATGGTAATTTGGGTGTGGTTTTTTTCATTTCAATTCTGAAGAAGGGGATCGTTTTTGGGAAGACTCGCGTCTAGTACGTCAAGGGGTCAACACGTACCTTGAGCGATCGTTTTGGTACACTTGGCGGTTTGAGCCACCGGCTTATTTCGGCTGCTCCCAGTTGCGTGCTTTTTGCACCCGTTCGGAAGTGTTATTTTCTTTTCGCGTTGATTTTTTGGCGAAGAAGACCCAGGTTCCAATCAGGTGATATTTTGGCGAACCCTTGAGCTTCACCCCAGTTTACTTTGGATGCAGTGAATCGCGTTAGGATACGTTGTGATTTCTCGAGGATATATAATTCAAAGTGCTGCCCTAGTCCTCAAGGCGCAGAATTTCGGGATCCGCCCCAGGTGGAATTTCCTACTAGTGCCGTAAGGTCATTTGTCGAAGGAGCGCTACGTTTCGGAGAGATATTTGCCCCAAGAAGAGCTGGTGAAATAATACTTTGACCCATCGCGGTTTACCGTCGGATAGTGATCATAAAAGTTTGTGTTCTGCCGTACCGCTAACTCAAAAAATCCGTCTCCCGCAGGCGATCAAAGCTAATAAACTAATAAAATAAAATTAAGTACACGTGCTGTGTAGAAACTTTGGCAACTAGCCGTCTCCCACTCGCCACGCGAAGGATTTCCTGGACTAAGTTTCCGTTCAAACACTAAACTTTGCTTTCGTTCCGAGGAAGGATAGGCACCGTGGATTTTTGTTTCCGCGTGTTAAATTCAAGCCACCCCCTGGGAAGTCACAGAGACCTAAGTGTCAGGTTTCATCACATCCACCCTGTACCAGAGGAAAGAGCAGTTCACAAGATCGGCTGTACAAATGTTGTGAAGGTTAGTCTAATTAAATTTGTAACGTTCTGTAAAATTCCACTTTTTGGTAATTAAGCTATAGAGAAAAAATTTTTTGAGTTGATTGTTTATTAAAGTCCAATGAACGATTACCAAAGAGTAGGATAAATTTTTGTGTTTATTTAAATAAGTCCCAGCCCATGCTGGATTAAAAACCGATTACCTGTTGTTGCAATTTTCAAACTGTAGAGGATGGCCACCCCTTGAGTAAATTAGTCTCACCTGGTAGAAGTTTTTATTTAGTTTAGTTGTCATTGTTAAGCTATTGTTTTTACAAGGAGGAGAGAAGAACTGCTAGATCCCTGTAATTTGTTTGTATCTCTAATATCATTTCAATATATTATCTATTTGGTTTCAATGTGCCTATGTCTTTAACGAAGAACGAGGGGAAGGAAAGGGAGGAGTAGGAGTTGAGGCAGGAGACTGGTAGGCGGCAGGTTAAGGTTTGTTACGCAGTTTCAAAAGAGTTAAAAGCCCACCGATTTTGAGTTAGCCGGAGCATTTATTTTTATCGATTGAGCAGCCTGAGAAGAAGACGGTTTGCCTTGCCGGGCGGAACCGATGGTAATTTTCAAGTCCAGAAGGAACCCCCGTAGCAAATTATCATTGTAGACTTTTTTTGTAAACCTTTTGAGAAAGTTCCTTAGTAATTGTTGCCATTTTACTTACACATCATCTCTCATTCTCTCAATCGAAGTCCCCGTTTAGCATCCGTATGTTTAGAATTCAATGAAGCAAAATAAACATAATTCTCTAATTCCCTTAACCAGTTATTAAGTTATTACCTAATAAGTAAGCAGCTACTGAAGTAAATGTTCACTAAATATATAGTTTCTATAATAGTCGCACACTAATCTTAGCCTCTCCCCAGTACTGGGAAATTATAAGTAGGTACTTGCTATCTTATTTTATTAATATATACTAGGACCGGCTTCCGTATTTTTACTGTCCTCCAGACGTTGACTCAACTAAAAACAAAATTAAGGCTGCTTTGACCCACCATCAGTTAACTCATTTTTCTTCTTTGCAAATATGATCTTTTCAATTTCGATCATGGGTAGCTCAAACGCTAAAGTTACAAGCGTCGCGACGAAAAACGTAAACGCAAAGTCGCCCCAAACCTGGTGCATCTGTAACAGTTCAACTTACTAAGATGAAATTACTGTGGAGTACACACCGCCTCCAAGTTGCTAAACGGCACAGTTGTCCTCATTTGACTTGTTAGAACAAAAATGACGATGAAGTGTACAATGTAAAGTGTGTAAGTAAAACGTGATAGCACTTCAAATATGGGCAACGAAAGGAACCAATTTACTGGACCTGAAATGGTGGTCTACTGGGTTTGTGGTTACAACATCTTCATCATTACCTGCGTAACCATTGGCACATGTAAAAATCACGGCGACTACAGCTAACGCCCAGGCCGGGCGGATCAAAGCCATGTAGAGTGCGTTTAACACCCTACGATATTCTGAAGTAATCAGACCATGACCCCCAAATGCAATTGCGCACATAATCATCAAGCTGAGAATCCACGCACCTGCGACAATTTTCTAAAACTCATCCGTCCAATCGTTTAGAATGGATGAATTGAATCACATACCGTAGACAGCTCATACCTCTTCTTTTTGGACAAGTATAGGTGGTACCCCAATATAATTCCTATCAACCATGGCGCTGCTCTTGTATATGCGGGGAAATAATACTGCCAGACAAATATCAGCGCCTTTTCAACGCTAGGGTGCCAACATAAACTCATTATACCGAAACAATTCCGACTTACTCTACATTTCCGTCCATTATACCATTAAGCTCAAAAAACCAACCTAGCAAAAAACATACCACTATATTACAGACAATGAGCGCGACGATTCCATAAATGGTACGTTTCGGCCATCTGGACAACGCCAGCAGAAAGATTGGGGAAACTACATACAACTGCATATCGACGCTCAAATACCAACTGGGAGAGATGCACTGAATTCATTATTGTAGCAGTTAATAAAAACACTAAAGGTGCATACCAATGAGGGCGTTTGACCGTAATTTTGAATATACAACAACGCCTTCCACCAATACTTTTCGCAACCATCAATCAGGTGTGATTCAACCATGCTCGACCAGAGCGGGCCTGACGCTAATTGTCTCAGTAATGTGACTATAAAAATGATAACAGCGACCAAAACGGGAGTTAATCTGAAAAAATGCATGCCGTAAGCATCTTTTATTAGTATCACGTAAGCACCTCAAAAACCGGTGAAGGTAGAACTTGAAAATATGAAACGAGGTGCTTTTCTCGGCGGACCAGAGGTAAACGTAGCTTACAAGACTTCCTGATAGTACAAAGAAGGTATCAACTGCCATTGGTACGTTTATCATAAGCATATTTCCTGCACTTTGCTTCCACTAAAATTAAAGAAATTATAGAAAACGGCGTGAACTCCATTCTTACGGTTTCCTTGTAAAAGTTATTCCACAGAGGAAAGTAGCTTAATGGTATGTAGTATCTGTGCTCTAGGATGATCCACATGGTACTGATAACTCGAATTCCGTTCATGCAAGTTATTTGTTTGGCATTGTTTTCGATTGCGATCAGTTGTTTGCCATTTTTAAGAATGGAAAACGCGACAAGTGCCCGATGCTTGACCTCTGCAAGCGAGAATTTAATTTTGTCAGGTGAGGCACTGTTGCTGCTTACGTGATTCGGTTATGTACAAGTAGATATCGTAAATTGTAGAAGCAAAAATCACCAGCGCGAAGATTGCGAAGAATGCCCTGGAAATGGACACTGAATGAGATTAAAGCTTCAAAGCACTTACACTCCACAATATTCTGACAATCCAAACCGTAGCTTTTCTCGATCAGCGATTGTTTGACACAAATTGTCTGGGAACGAGAAATTGAATCCAAAATACTTGTATACTGTAGACACATCGGTAGTGGAACAGCTCTCCGGTAAGCAACTTGCCAGTTTCAGTGGTACTGTGGCATTTATCTGTAACAAATGTAGTAAATTTGAAGACTATCTAATGTAAGTTGTTCGACTGCTTTTACTCTCTACATTTGTACTGGTCAAGAGTGGAATGGGGAGACGTGAGTGCAGAGCAAGTGGCAGACGGTTTTGGGTGTTCGCTGCTTTAAAATCGGATGTTGATCGTACTGAATTGTTAAGAAACGGGCCCATTTTGTTGAGGGCCAAGTAGAACTTATTTAATCACTCGAAGGCGCTGAAGTGATCTACTTTATAGATACTTGTTAAATGATAATTAAGCAGAAAGAATCTTTAACTGGAATTTTAAAATAGAAATAACGAATGCGTACGCGCTTTGTAACTTATGGCCCATTTATGTTAGACCCTGTTTATTACAACCTCGTTATCTAGTCTAAAGCAATAAAGGTGAAAAATGTACGTTTTAAGCATTTTTCATGTCTTTCTTAAGGAATGGATATGTAACTTGTAAAGAAAGCGTTCGGGAAGCAGTCAAGCATACCCGTTGACCGGGAAAAGAGCAGCTTTGCTAGTAAAAAAGACGTGGAATGTGAAATGTAATCAAGCATTTGTTAATTATTTTCAGTGCAAATCCACAATAAGAATAATTCAATACAAGGTAAATTCTTTTCAATTAAAATTAATTAATATAATATTTGCAAGTAGATATAATCCCATATAAATCTGCGCGTGGTTTAATATGAGTAATGGTCAAGAACGGATTTAATAATTAAAGTTAGGAATTACAGATTTATATATTATGTGCTTTATATTAATGAAAATCTAACCGCGCGAAGCCATGCCAAATAGGAATTACGTTTGCTAATTACGCATTCTGCTAGTAAATTATATTAACTTAGCTGAAAGGATTGATTAATTAATTCCTCTTCTTACAATTGACTCATTTTAATTTTATCACTTCATGAAAATACGTTGGAGTATTTCAAAGGAAGTTATACTGTTTTAGTTGGGTTTATTGCTGCTGACTGTATAAACCATATGACACCAGGAACAAGTTATCTTACAGGATCCCTTTCTGTAGATTGATCAAGTCTCACAAAAATACTGACGTCATAGCTTGTTTCCCAAGGAAAAACAAATTTAAAAGAATCAAATTAAACAAAACAAATTTTTTTTACTAATTTAAAATTTAAAGCAAACAATACAATAGTATATTATGTAATGAGCATTTAATGACAGCTATTAAGCCACGAGTATGAGAATATAAGAAAATACCAGTGTCTTAATAAATGCGAGCTTCTTACACTATTTTTTCTACGGCTATGATGAGCTATAGAGAGTACGATGGCTTCAAAAGCGGTCCAAAATTTGAGATTTTTATTGTGTGCAGATAGCGAAGTTACCGACCTCAAAGCATGCGCACTGCGCAGTCATGGTAACGCGTTTCAGCAGAGAGCTACTGTCAAATTTATTCAAGAAGGCCGTCGATTGGAATCTTATGATTAATTCATAAGAAAACGAACCACCAATTCGCTATGCCCAGCAGTTGTCAAAAGTAATAAATTTTAGACCTGTCATTGTTATGGCAACTTTGATTTTCATAAGTTATACGTCGTGTTCCCATGATGCTGCACTTCTATTGGTCGTAAATTGAAAAATCTGTATCGAAATTACATTTAGGTACAGGTATAACTCTCGCCAGGAAAGATTGCCGGTCACAGAACACTTGATCCCGATCTACAATCTCTGTTTTTCGTTAAGTGCTAGCGACTTCCGAGATAGTATCATGTTAATGTTGAACGAAAAGACTTTTTGTTCAACATTAGCACGATCCTATTCCAGAAGTCGCTCGCATCTTAATAAAAACAAAGATTGTAAATCGACACAAGGTGTGCTGTGACCGGCAATCTTTCCTGGCGAAAGTTATAGCAAATGTTTAATACGTATATCAATTAAACAATTAAAGTATAGGAGTAGAAAAAAATAATTAATAGTTTTGTTGGGCAGAATTATAATCATAATCATCCGATAAGCCGGACACTGTTTATTGTGGTAAAAAGGTTTTCACCCTAAGGGCCGATTCAACAATGCAGGTAATGCTAGAATACGTCCACGGTTACGTTGGTTACCATTGCATCATCCAATTTATGTTGCTATGGCAGTTATTCCAAGAATATCTTATTCTGGGTAAAGGTGTAATTGTGGAACCGGCCCTAAGGAGATAACTTAATCGCATTTTCCATGCATTGATCGGTACTTCCCAAAAAGTCATGTTTTTCTCTACAAAAGGCATCAATGGTTAAAATTTTAAAGAAGTATCTTCATAAATATGGAAATAGACGTTGCGCACTTCGCGCATGCGCACGTCTAATACAAGATATGGTGAACTTCCTGGGAGCGAAGATTTTTCCGAAGGCGAACCTTCTGGGAGCAAATACTGCGGGGATCAGTTTTAAGGACAGAAATTCTGGAGCTGTCTACCGCGCCGTAAATATTCTGCATGAATTTCCGTAAATTCTTAGATAGACCCGTCAATTACCAGAAAGTTCTGTAAATTCCCAGATAGGCTTGTAAATTCCGAGATTAGAGGCGTATAAATTTACACTTAACACTGTATTCATTGCAAAAAATAACTCGTATGCCGCTTCTACGCTTCAGTACAAAATTCATACACAAGACGGCGTTACTGACTGAAAGAATAACATTCTTTTCTAAACCCACCTTCTTTAAATTTATATTCGTCTCTCCAAGGCAGTATCGTCCTCGGAAAGAATCTGAGGAATCTATCCGTTGAATTACTTCGAGGCACTCCTCAAATGAACCCAAATCGACCGTATGTCCTGCTCCAATCCCTGATGGTAGCTTGCTTGCAGCGTCAAACACTACGATTCCAATTGTTCTCAAGTGTCAACCAACCAGTGATCGTACTTACTTTGAAAAGCCCACAATCGATTTGTCTTCAATCCTGCTTGATAGTAGTCCATATGACGTCTACAGTTAATACCAATTCCATTTGTCTCATTCTGAACCACATCACCCAGAATATCCAGAACGTATTTCAAGTAACCCAATGGTTCACCGCTCACTTTCGAATTTGACACACCGCTCACTAATATCACCACAAGTACGTACTCATACCGCATATTTCACCTGTTTAACTTACTTTACTCGTTAAACAGTATATACCTAACTTAACGATAATTAATTATCATTAACATCTTTACTTAATTGGTTAAAGAATTTACATAGTATAATTACCTACATTTTGGTACGAATAAACGATAGCCTTTTTTTTTATTTTTTATCACATTTTTCTCAATTCCCGTAAACATTCGAGCGAAGACATAAGGAAGTTATTTTGGGATGAACTCTACCTAGGTCTTTGAATATTATATTCAAAGACCTAGGTAAAGTAGACTCTTACTAGTCTTTTCCGTAAAAGTTGATTCAAAGCGAAAGGTGATGAACATCTACTAATCACAGTTGGCTGTACCTAGGGAAAGAATACTTACTGCCTTGAATTAGTAAAGGTTGACTTTTGGAAGCAAACGGCCTGCTACCTAATAAAGAACAAATAAAAACTAAACTTTATGATACATGCTAAGTTGACTCGTGAGCAACTAATTTTTGATTCCATAGTATAAAGTCATTCGAGTTATTCATTCCTTTTAAGTATTAATGACAGTTTTTCGTATACGATTAGCCTTCGTGTCAAACGATAGCATTGCAATTCGCAATATATTTTATGCAGCGCGATCATTGCCCCTCTTATTTACTTGTTGTTGTTTTTTCTGGTTAAAGATTTGCAGGTACGCGCCCTTCTTGAGCTCACAATGCCATTGCGACCTGTAATTCAAAGGGAAAATTTTTATGTTAGTCGATTTCCTCTTCTTTAACTGGTTGATTATATATTGGTCTTCGATACCATCGAGTTGTAATTGTTACATTTGACTCTACAAACAGTTCATTACAATTTTTTTGTGAGTTCCTTTGTTTTTAAAAGTTTTGAATTGAAACGTTAAACTACTTATTTTATTTTTCTAAATTTGCATTTTTCTCTAAAAGTAAGCATCAGAGTGAAAAATGTTAATTACAAAAAAGATGTATCTTGATGAGATCTACAAAAAAAGGCTTCTACACTTTTTGCGTCGGGTTCAAAATAAAGGCACTAGGGGGCATTTTCTAGATGTTATACTATGACCAAAGATAATTGCAATGACTCTATTAAAAGTAGTCGGAAAGTCAAGTCAGGACTTTACCTGACAACTAGTTTTACTAAAAATTAATTTAAATTCAAATATTGACATATCAGATCTATACAGGGTGTTACATGACCGCATATAAAATAAAATTGGGCGAGGGGATCAAGAGAAGCACTTTTCTAAATAAACCGAGAGTCCAACGGGTTTCGTTTGGGAGCCACTTCAAAGAAGTGGTGAAATTTGGATTTCAATGTTTTTCTCAGCAACCAAGCAAGCAAGTTACAAAGATGGGTGCGTGGCACGTCATTGAAAAGGTTTTCAGGTATGCTGTATACAATTTTGAATTTTTTTCTAAATTTTTCAAAATGTTTTTTTCGAAATTTCTACCACGAAAGGGCAACCCTACTTGGGGGTGCGAAAAATTTCTGATTTCGACGAAAGTTGGTATGGGGGTTTTGAACATGAAAATGACGAATCTGAAATTAGTTTTTGAAAATTCGAAAAAAAAAGTTCCATTACAATTCTTGGCCAGACAACGAAAATGGAGAGAATTCCACGAAATTTGTTGTGTACCGGGTGACCCAATAAGACTGTTCCTCGGCCATATCTCGAGAACCGTTCGTCATATGACGGGGTAAAAAAAATATTAGGTAAATCGGTCATGAAGAATCGCTGGAAAATATTTTCAAAAAATGACCAACAAAGGGCGTAACTGCCATCTTAAATAATTTTAAATTTGGCCACTTTTTCATACAGAAAAGGTCAAAACTAGCTCCCTGGCGTAGAAGGATTCAATTAAATTAACTATATTTTGGTTGATTCTTGTTGCCCAAGGAATGCTCTTTTCAACGATACCAAATTTGTTACAATCGGTCAAACGGGTTAAGAAGTTAAGGCAGGTTATTGCAAAAACAATTGAACACCCCACGCCATCCTTGAATAACTGAGTTTTTGTTTTTATGAAAATGATAGATTAACTGGTTCTCTTTAAAAATGTGAAAAAAAATTGTTTAGTTTATTATGCGAAATTTAAAGAAAACGCAATTGTAAAATTTAAGATAGCAGTTATGCTCTCTGGTGGTCATTTTCCAGCGATTTTTCATAACCAATTTACCCAATATTTTTTTTACCCCTGGCATACGACGAACGGTTCCCGAGATATGACCGAGGACGTTGACCCCCGGTTTATTCGGAAAAAGTAGGTACTTGTCTTGATATGATGTAACACCCTGTATATGTATGTATATTACAGTGGCCTATTGTTTATGTATTGTTTTATTCCCTTAGCTTCCCCAGACCAGAAAAAGGATCTCATAGTCTGCCTTGTTACCCCGTTCGATAAGTATTTCTTTCTCTTTTGATAATTACTGAAGACTAAGTGGCGGTAAGAGTTGGGTACTGCTCGCGAGCGTTTCGCTCTAAATAACGCTGCAAGCGGAAAAAGCGCTTGCGAGCGGTCACTGGCGAGCACTTTTCGGAGCGGCCGCTTGGTGCTTGCGAAAGAAATGGGGGTAGACACTGTTGGGATAGTGGTAGAATACAAGAATGTTAATAAGAAGGATTAAATTAATATTTTATTTTGCTTCAAAACATTAAATTGACAATACTTTTTATTTTATATTGTAAATTGTAACTATGCCAACTAAAATTATAATCAGGTATAATGATTTGTAACAGACACAATAGGCTTTTGGTGTGCCTACGTGCTGCCCGGTCGTGCTCCCCTTAAGAGTAGAATAGAAATAGAAGGTTTATATTATTTATATATTGCTAGAAACCATACAACCAAACAACCTTTTTCAAAGACATGGACGTCATGGGTACCACCTACAGATAGGTAAACTTACCCCTTACGGCAGCGATACAGGTAATTGCGAGGGTTATTTACCATAACCTGAACGAAATTGAACTCAAACTACCCTTCAACACCAACACACTCTAATGAATTCATTCTTCATACATACAAAATTACACTACACGTTTATCTATTAACATTATCATTATTACAGCGTTTCGGGCGTTCTTCGAGCTTTCAGCCCTACCCAAAGACCACCCGCAGGTGACAGCTGAAATCCAGTCCGGCTCAGTTTGACAGGGTGCTTAGTTTTTGGAGTGCACACAATTTCAAATTCGTGCACCAAGTAAAGGACGGCGGTTTTAATTTCGAGCAACGCAAACTGAGAACCTAAAACAATCTCGCTTTCATCGTCTCCAATGGAGCATACATCCTACCTATACAATTCCTCGGACCGAAACCAAAGGGCATGTAGGTATTTGGAACAATATTGTCCCGATTTGTGGAACTAAACCTTTCAGGGACAAACTCGTCCGGGTTTGGATAATACTTCTTATCCCTGTGAATCGCAAATATCGGTATTAAGCACAGTGTATTTTCTTTGAACGTTGTCGTAGTGTCCCATATTTGCTCAGCGTCGATTGTGAACGATCTGACAGACTTTCGATCGATTAATACGGTCGGGGGCCACTTGCGGAGACTCTCTGTAAATTACAACACTCATTTGAACACAGCCACGGAAAGATTTACAACGTACCTGAGACTACCATGTCTAGATAGTCCAAGTGGAGCACATGAGCGTAGGAAACATCCTTGCACGCTTCCATGAGGCTGTCTACTTCTTTGCGTAGCTTTAATTGGATGTCGTTGTTGATTGCTAGTTCGTATAACACAAAGCTGAGACCGATAGATACAGTTTCGTAACCCGACACGAAGAAATGAATTCCTTGCGCAATTGCTTCGTCCAGGTGATCTTTGTTGTCGTTTCCGATTCCATTGTTCGCGAAGAAGCTAACTAAATGGTTGTCCTCCTTTGAACACCTGTCCTGAACGATCCCACTGTAAAATCGGCTGGTGCGCTCTTCGATAATTTTAAATCTAAAAAACTCAAATTTCACAATAGATTTCGATGTAGGTAAACTGCTTTGCTAGATACCTTCATTAGCCTTGGGCTTACTGAGTAGCCAAATAATTTGAATAACCTCAGTAGATTAAATTCGGTAATATGCTTCGACATTGAATAGAACTCGTTGCGGCGATTCTGTAAGGAATCGCAAGCAACGCCAAAAACCGCGGACGCTATAACGTCGTTCGCAAATTTGCTCGTAGCGTCTACGAGTTCAACCGACTCGCTGTTTCGCTCCAGAAAAAAGTAGGCCAAATTTTTCGCGCACGTCTTCATCGACTCGAACGTCTTTTCCAAATTTTCGTCGCCGAATCCTAAGCTGAGGGTCGACCTCTTATTGCGCCACTGATCCCCGCCTGTAAATCGGCGCTGATTCAAGTGTTTTTTTGGCGTCACTAACCTGGCATAGCGTGTAAGTTTTTAGCCCATATTGGGTCCAGGTCGGCGTCCATTATTGACCGGCGATCTGGGAACGTTTCGAAATCATCTCCCAAAATTTTTTTGATCATCTTTGGACATCTTATGAACAGAACCGGTGTGCCGAATTGGAAAGCTCCAAAGTATCTGCAAATAACAAAGAAAGCATTAAGCATACGTTATACGTTGTCCATTTATTGTGGTTGTCCATTTATTGTGAAATATATTACACATATTGTAAATTATTGTATTTCATCAAACACATTTCCATCAGCGTGGAAGACAGCGAATATTATTCCAATTCCCAAGAGTAACAATCCGCGGCTAAGCTACAAAGACCTTAGGCCCATTAGCATTCTTCCCACTTTGTCAAAGATCCTCGAAAAGGTAATGAAAGAACAGTTCGTAGAGTACTTGGAGAGATTTAACTTACTACCATCGACGCAGTCGGGTTTTATGAAGAGTTATAGCTGCGCTACAGCGCTTCTTAATATAACGGACGATATAATTCGAGCAACTGATGCAAATCAACTTACGGTGGTAGTGCTATTGGACTTCAGTAAGGCCTTTGATACGATTAGTCATAAACTTCTTTCATCCGTTCTTACTCACTTTGGCTGTGAAGCGCCGGCAAGCCAGCTGATTAATTCTTATTTGTCAGATAGACAACAACGCGTTGTTGTCAACAACAAAACCTCTAATGTGGAACGTATTTTGCGTGGCGTCCCTCAAGGATCTATTCTGGGTTCCCTTCTTTATAGTATCTATTCCAGCAGCATTTGCAATGGATTACGTTATTGCAAATTCCACCAATATGCTGATGTTACTCAGATTTATTGCTCTTTTACATTGGATCAAACTAATACAGCCGTAAATCAAATTAATGCAGACTTGAATACCTTATCTGAAACGGCATCGGCACATAATCTGAGTATTAATCCATCCAAATCGGTGGTAATGTTATTTGGTCGCCAGCTAGCAAGGACTCGTTCAAAATCCCACATTAAAATATTTATGAATGGTTCACTTCTTCCTCTTGTGGATGAAGCCAAAAATCTAGGGCTCTTACTAGACTCCGACTTAAGGTTTAAGGGACATATTAATTCCTGTATACGTAAAGCGTATTCCACGTTGAGGAAGTTGTATCCTAGTAGGAACTTGTTATCCATACAGACAAAAACTTATCCGACGGACTCTCTAATACTGAGTCATTTTAATTACTGTGATGTGGTTTATGGGGCATGCATTGATTCGTTAACGGCAAGTAGGGTGCAAAGAGTTCAAAACTCTTGCTTAAGGTTTGTTTATGGGATTAGGCGCATGCACCACATATCAGGCAAGTTTAGAGACTCCGGCTGGCTCAATATGAACCTTCGAAGACGCCTACATGTTGCAGTGCTGTACCATAAAGTCATCACTACCCAAATACCGCCATATTTAGCTGAACGGTTACGTTATCGAAGCAGTCTTCATAATTTAAACCTTAGACACAGAGGCCTATTAACAATTCCTGACCATAAAACATCGTATTTCAATAGTTCATTCTCATACAATGTAGCTGAGGTTTATAATTCCATTCCACCACTCCCAAGCACTTATCTGTTATTCCATTTAAGTATCATCTTAAAGATTAGCTGCGAAAACAAATTTAACATTTGTAGTTATGTAATCATGCCACCTGATTAAGTTTTAATGAATTACTGTTTTTTTTTCTTCTGAGACAATGAGAAATTTACTTTTATATATCTGTTATTGTCCGGGCTGTATGGAAGAACAGAGCTTATAAGCACTGAATGCAGTCCTTTTTCCTTTTTTTCGTGTTGTAATTGGATGTGTTATAAGAAAACGGGAAATAAAGTTTATTATTATTATTATTATTATGGTCGGTGTTTCTTGTGAGAACTCAGGTCTAGCCTGGTTAACTAATCGCACGGATTAAAATCAAGTAACGATTAGTGTCTGTGTCTGTGTCTGTGTCTGGTGAAGTTATGTAGGGTTCTAAAGAAAAATAAAAAATAAAATAAATATTCACACACTCACATTGGAAATCTAGAGATAGTATGTAATTCAATACTTACAACAAAAATATCATTATAATAATTCCTGTAATTTTATTAAATAGAGTTTATTGTGTAAGTGTTTCTTTGGCTTTGCGTTTGGGTTGAATACGAGTGGGTTGTGATAAAGTGGTGTGTTTATGTGAAGAAGGAGTTTTGTGTTTTTTAATTGTATTTATGGTGTTTCTTTGTTCCTGAGGTCGTATTTGTGAGGTTGTTTGGGTTTCTGGTGGAGATATTGCAGTATTTTGTGAGCCTGTGGTGCTGTTAAGGTTTTTGCGCTTCGGTTGTATACGAGTGGGTTGTGACAATGTGGTGTGTTTCTGTGAAGAAAGAGTTATGTGTTTTTTAAGTGTGCTAGGGCGTGTAACTTTATTGGGTGGACCTGTCTTTGTAGTGCAAGTTGCGTTACTTGTATTTGTGGTGTTTCTTTGTTCTTGAGGTTGTATTTGTGTGGTTGCTTGGGTTTTTGGTGGAGATATTACAGTATGTTGTGAGCGTGTAGTTCTGTTAAGGTTTTCGCGTTTCGGTTGAATCCGAGTTGGTTGTGATAATGTGGTGTGTTTCTGTGAAGAAGGAGTTTTGTGTTTTTTAACTGTGCTAGGACGTGTAACTTTATTGGGTGGACCTGTCTTTGTAGTGCATGTTGCGTTACTTGTATTTATGGTATTTCTTTGTTCTTGAGGCTGTATTTGTGTGGTTGCTTGGGTTTTTGGTGGAGGTATTACAGTATGTTGTGAGCATGTAGTTCTGTTAAGGTTTTCGCGTTTCGGTTGAATACGAGTGGGTTGTGATAATGTGGTGTGTTTCTGTGAAGAAGGAGTTTTGTGTTTTTCAACTGTTCTAGGACGTGTAACTTTATTGGGTGGACCTGTCTTTGTAGTGCAAATTGCGTTACTTGTATTTATGGTGTTTCTTTGTTCTAGAGGTTGTATTTGTGTTGTTGCTTGGATTATTGGTGGAGACATTACGGTATTTTGTGAGCCTCAAGTGCTGTTAAGGTTGCTGCGTTCGGGTTGTGATAACGTGGTGTGTTTCTGAGAAGAAAGAGTATTGTGTTTTTTAGCTGTGCTAGGCCGTGTAACTTTATTGGGTGAGGGCGTCTTTGTAGTGCATGTTGCGTTACTTGTATTTATTGCGTTTGTTTGTTCAGGAAGTTGTGTTTGTGTGGTGGGTTGAGTTAAGGGTGGAGATATTACAGTATGTTGTGTGTCATGTTGTGAGTCTAAAGTGCTGTTTAGGCTTTTGCGTTTGGGTTGAATACTAATGGGTTGTGATAATGTGGTTTGCTTCAGAGGTGAATCTCTGAATGTAGTTATATGTTGTATCATTTGTTGTACTTGTTTGTTCGGTAAGTTGTATTTGTGTGTTTGTCTGGGTTAGAGGTGGAGATATTACAGTATGTTGTGTACCGTGTTGTGAGGGAGTGCTGTTGTTTACATGTATACGTTGTGGATCATTTCTAGTATCTTGTGTTATGTTTAGAAATTTACGAACAATATGGCATGTGTTGATAATGACTGCTTTTTGTAAATGTTTGTATGTGTTTTTGTCCAAACCTAATAGTTGTAAATTGTGGTGTATTGTCTTTGTTTGGTATAACTCCGGTAGCACTAAGAATAATGGGAACTATAACAGTAGATTTCATTCTCCATTGCGTCTTAAGCTCGATAGCTATATCGGTGTATTTGCGGTGTTTTTCTGCATGTGTTTTAGTTAAGTTGTTAGTGTTGGGTATGGCAATGTCTATAATACACATGGATTTTTGCGTTTTATCTATAAGTGTAATATCTGGTCTATTATTGTGGATAGTTTTGTCTGTGAGTAGTGTCCTGTCCCAATATAATTTGTGTGTGTGTTGTTTTCAAGTATGATCTGTGGCGTGTATTTGTAATATGGTGTCTTATCTGTTATGAGATTGTGTTTAAGAGCTAATTTTTGATGTATGATTTTAGCTACCTGATCGTGTCGATGTTTGTATTCAGTTTGTGCAAGTCGTGTGCATGCCGATATTATATGTTGGATTGTTTCTGATGTTTGTGAACAGAGTCGACAAGAATCGTTTGTCACTGTTTTGTCTTTATGTATGTGTTTTTTTATAGTTGCGTGTATTAATGACCTGGTCTTGTATTGCTAACATGAAACCCTCAGTCTCCGGGAAGATATCACATTCAGACAACCAAGTGTGCGTTGCTATAGAATCAACACAATCCTGACTAACCTCTTGTCTTATTATTATTATTATTATTATGGTCGGTGTTTCTTGTGAGAACTCAGGTCTAGCCTGGTTAACTAATCGCACGAATTAAAATCAAGTAACGATAAGAGCTATTTTCGGAACTGGTTTATATAGAAAGAGTTTACTATCCTTGATGTCCACACCAAACAAACACGAGAATATCCACTACCGTATATCACTGTATCATTAGACAAATGCATGAATGGTAAAAATGAAATTTCTCATAGATCCGAGAGGACTACGATTGAGACCTCTTCGAGAGCAATGTGTTATTCATTCACAATTTTACATATCTTTAAATATACGTATGCTTAACTTTGTTGAGATAACCACAGAAATTAGGTAGGTAGTGAAAATTACCTTTTGGATCAGGTTAGTCATTTCAGCATTAGCTTTCATATTATTTTTCTTTTGAATTTGAAGTATTTACGTCTAGATTTATGTTTTGTATACCCGTACGTTCTTCCGTCTGCACGTGGGGACCGAAACCGTTTTTCGATCTAATCGTTCCGAAATTTCGTACACACCTTACTTCATATTCGTAGATCAAAATTGTTAGCGATTTCCATTTTTCGAATATTTCTAAATTTGAGTGCTTCGAATTCTTCCGCTTCTTTGGTTTCTTTAATTTTGTTCAGTTTAGATGTTTCTGTTGCATTGGTGTCATCGAATTCCTTTATTTCTTCGAAATTTGCAATATCCCCTGTATACTTTCAGATTCGTACGATTCTTCAATTTCTTCAAGTTGTTTGATTTTTTTAAATCTTTCACTTGATTGGTTCCTTCCCATTTTTCAGCTTCAAAAACATTGCATTCTTTATCGTTTATCAATTCCTCCATTTCACTTCGGA